TCTGAATAGAAGATTGTTTTCTTCCTAAGCTAGAACATCTACTCAGCACCCAGCCCTGTCCCATGCTTAGTCCCTTCAAATAAATGTAAAACAACCTATGACTCATGAAGTCTCCACGTTTTCACCTAATCAAACTTATAGTAAAGTGAGGAACTTGGATGTCACTTCCAAGATGGGAAAATAACATAATTAAAGAAATCTTACTGAGTGTCCTCCCATCAAGAAGGAAGGAGTAAATACAATTAATTGAACTACATGTAATTTAATATCTTTACTGTAGAATTACTCCCCCATTCAAATCAATTTTTGAACACGTCATTTCGTGCAAACTATTCTTAAAATCCCTGATCAAGGCATATAAGCAATAGGTCCTGAATACTGGAACAAGGGAAACACTAGATCCTACATGAGTAATAGGCAGGTAGACAGGACAGGATTTGCATGGGGAGATCCTCACACCAAGATACAGGGTGTATTTAGGAGAAATAAATTCTATATACTGTAGAGAAAATTATTCCCACTAAATAATCTATAACATTTCCCTTTGCTAGGAAATCATCAACTTGAAATTTGCAAATTATCTCTTGATCCCATATTCCCTTTCCTTCTGAAGATATAAATACACATACACATAAATACATAAGCACACTCATACTCCTTCCTAGTTATTTCTGTTACTCCAAAATCTATCTTTAGCTTAATGTAATATATTCCTTTCTGTCAATATCTAAACCATAAAACTGTGTTCTGTATGCTAAAAAAAGAAAGAAAAAAGAAAGAAACCCCAAAAACAAAACAAACAAAAAAAACATGAGGAAAGAAAAATCTAGGGTAAAATTTTATAGTGATTAAGAATTCTGTAGATATGGCTTCTAATTATATTTGTAGTGACTTTGTTCAATTAGCAGTAGTTAGGCAGAACACCTGGGTATTAGATGGTGAGCCATGGTTCAACAAAAAGAAACAAAGAAATTGAAATAAAGTTTACTACTCATAGATCCTGGAGGATGTACCCAATATGCCTTGAGGGACAACATAAAGAGGTCAAGACTGAGTGCAGGCAGAGAGTGTGGCAGGAACTGGGGTAGATGTCTTTTTAGGGTTCCTGGTAGGAGTGCTTTTCACTTTCTGGGCCAAGTCTAGAATGCACAATTCAAACCAGAATGAGTGGATGAGGATGGTCAACACTGCAGGAGTCTTCTCTAAGGGATGCTCATGATAAATACACTGGGATCGGACACTTTCAAAAAGGCTACTGGGGAAGTCAGATCAGGAAATTACCTTTGCTTGTGACTATAGGGGCTGTTATCTAGTGTATTTGCTAATGGGTGGAGCTACAGTTATTTCAAATTCCCTGCAGGCAGTCTGGTTATAGAAACTGGATTCCAAGTCAGTAGTATCACCCATTTGTTACTCACAGTATCCATACTACTACTCTATCATCATCATTAAAAGCACCCTAATGTCCCAGCAGTTTCAAAAAGAAAAGATAGAATACAGAATCTTGGGGGAAAATTAATCACAAATAATTCAAGGTTTAGGGCCACTGGGAAGAAAAATTATTAGTGATATCATCCCACTGCTTTAACAAGTACAAGTGACTCTTGAATAATGCAGGGGTTCGGTGTACCCACCACCCATGCAGTTGAAAACCCATATGTAGGGGCGCCTGGGTGGCTCAGTCGTTAAGCATCTGCCTTCAGCTCAGGTCATCATCCCAGGGTCCTGGGATCGAGTCCCGCATCGGGCTCCCTGCTCCGCGGGAAGCCCGCTTCTCCCTCTCCCACTCCCCATGCTTGGGTTCCCTCTCTCACTGTGTCGCTCTCTGTCAAATAAATAAAATCTTTTTTTTTTTTTTACACAAGCAAGGGGAGTGGGAGAGGGAGAAGCAGGCTCCCCGCCGAGCAGGGAGCCCGATGCTGGACTCGATCCCAGGACCCTGGGATCATGACCTGAGCCGAAGGCAGACGCCCAACGACTGAGCCACCCAGGTGCCCCCAAATAAATAAAATCTTAAAAAAAAAAGAAAGAAAAAACCCATGTGTAACTTCCATTCTCCAATGGTTAATTTTAATCAACTGCTGAAAAGAAACCTTACCTATAGCAGTCACTTAACCCATATTTTATGTTACCTATGTTATATATGGTATTCCTACAGTAAAGGAAGCTCCAGAAAAGGAAATGTTACGGAAATCAAGAGGAAGAGAAATACAGTTATAGTACTGTACTATAAATAAATCTGACTATAAGGGAACCCACACAGTTAAACATGTTGCTCAAGGGTCAAGTGTACTTTGTGTTACTGTCTGTTTACCCGCAACCTTGATGAAATTGGGGCAGGCTAAGGTTGGTGCAGGATCACTGTTTATTACGCATCAGTGTTAACACATTAAAATCCATTTAGTGTTATTAATTCAAATACATAAAGTTGAAACACTCTAAACAAACCACTGCAAAATCACTGTATGATCATTGGTCAAAATACCATGACAGGGGCACCTGGGTGGCTCAGTTAGTTAAGCGACTGCCTTCGGCTCAGGTCATGATCCTGGAGTCCCGGGATCGAGTCCCACATCGGGCTCCCTGCTCAGCGGGGAGTCTGCTTCTCCCCCTGACCCTCCTCCCTCTCATACTCTCTGTCTCTCATTGTCTCTCTTGCAAATAAATAAAATCTTAAAAAAAAATAAAATAAAATAAAAAAATACCATGACAGTCACTCAAGGAAGGACCATTCTTGTTCTTCTGATACAATGATCTGTGAGTTGTAGTTTCCATGCTTTTCAAACTGAGGGTCTTCATTGAGTAAATGTGGATTTACAATGATTTTACACCCTTTTACGGAAGAGTCAGCTATACTTTTCTCAGTTGTCTGTGAAATTTTTATTATTTTAACTGCATAAACTAATATTCTTGACTTGTAACAATTCCTATAGTGAAGATGCATCCAGCTTTTTTTTTTTTTTTTTTAAGATTTACTTATTGGACAGAGAGAGAGAGAGCACAAGTAGGCAGATCAAAGGCAGAGGGAGAAGCAGAATCCCCGCTGAGCAGAGAGCCTGATGTGGGGCTCGATCCCAGGACGCTGGGATCATGACCTGAGCCGAAGGCAGATGCTTAACCAACTGAGCCACCCAGGTACCCCCATCCAACTTTTAATAAACCACCACTGTATTCTCCTTAAAACCCAACTGGCAAAGTATTTAAAATTCAGAATGTGGGGCGCCTGGGTGGCTCAGTCCTTGAGCGTCTGCCTTCGGCTCAGGTCATGATCCTGGGGTCCTGGGATCGAGCCCTGCATCGGGCTCCCTGCTTGGCGGGAAGCCTGCTTCTCCCTCTCCCACTCCCCCTGCTTGTGTTCCCTCTCTCGCTGTGTCTCTCTCTGTCAAATAAATAAATAAGATCTTAAAAAAAATACTCTGATTTTGAATTATGTCTGAAAAGTGGTATTGACTTACTGCTTTCTGCTGCCAATTTTTTGGTGTTAAGATTTGCCTTTCCATTACACAGTTTGCCAGTTATAAAGGATAAAATCATTAAAGACATAAATAACTTTTTTTTTCTGAAGTGTGTATTAAAACCAAAAGTCTTGCATTAATTTTACATTTCTAGGGTTTCTATACAGTATGCTTCGTCTGATGTTCACTAAGGGTGCAGTTCCAGGACTTTGCCACTATTCTGGACAACTGTAAGCTATCTCCACAGGATATATTATCTCAGGTTGAATAGTTTTGCTTATGAATTAAATACCCTGCCTCATTCTTTACATTTAAGGGCTTCTCTCTACTATGCATCTGCTGTTCACAAAGTTGGTAGTTCTGCTTAAAGGCATTGTCACATTTTACATTTGTCAGCCTTCTCCCCACTGTATCTTACCTTAGCGTGGTGAGTTTCGAGTGGTAGTTAAAGGCTTTATACACTTGTAAGGTTTCTTCCTATTACAGAATCTCTGCTGTTGAGGTTTTGAATATAAGTCAAAAGCTATGCTGCAATTACTACATTTCTAAGTACTCTCTCCAGTGAGGATAAAATGATGTACAATGAGATTTGCGCTTTCGTAAGTCTTTCCCACATTTATTACTTTGATACTGGTTCTCTGAAGACTAAGTTCTCTGAGGATTACTGGGATTTGACCCTTGGTTAAGTTTTTTCCTAGATCCATTGCATTGGTAAGTTCTGTCTCCATTATAAATACCTCTGTAATTATGAAAGATAGAGTCCTCGGTAAAGATCTTCCTAAGTTCACAACACACGAAAACTTGCTCCAAGTTAAGTATTATGTGATAACTATTGAACAGTAATGTTTCAATAAAGGCCCTCCTATGTTTATCAAAATTAGAGACTTTGGAACAAGGAGGGATTATGTGTTGGTGGGAGAACAATGAACTTTCTGAAAAAGGACTTCTCCAGTCAATCACATTTAGAATTTTTATCTTCACGTTTAAATATCTAACTTTCAGAAATGTTTCCGTGAATGATTAATACAATCTCACATTTGAAATGCTTTGAAGGATTACTTTCAGCATGGACTAGGTGACTTTCCAAAACTTCAAAAGGTCCTTTCAGAATATATATATATATATATATTTTTTTTTTTTTAAGATTTTATTTATTTATTTATTGGAGAGCGAGCGAGAGAGAAACAGCATGAGAGAGGAGAGGGTCAGAGGGAGAAGCAGGCTCCCCGCCGAGCTGGGAGCCCGATGTGGGACTCGATCCCAGGACCCTGGGATCATGTCCTGAGCCGAAGGCAGTCGCTTAACCAACTGAGCCACCCAGGCGCCCCTATATATATATTTTTTTAATGGATTTGGGCCCTTGGGATGAATGACATTGTTCTGCAAATATAACTGACTTAAGGTGGGGTTTCCCCCCAAATGTTTCATATCCTTGCTCTCTTCTGGCAGTAAGGATTTAATTACGGTTAATTGTCCCAGTCTGGTTATATACATCATAGCATCCTTCTTGCCCTTCACTAGCTCCATCCCCTTCCCAGTCATTCATTAAGTATAAATACTCAGGTCCACTGCTGCCACATCTTCCCCTATCACTCTATGCAGTCAATCTTCTTTGCTGGTCTTTGCCAACAAGCTTGGGGTGTTAAAGAAAGACACCATGAACAGATGAAAAACAAGATATCTCACTTACTACATTCACATGCATACCAAATTAATAGCCATCCTAGGACAGCAACAGAATGGAGAAATAGGAACCACCAGGACTTTGCTCCCCCATGGAGACAAAAATGGACCAAATTACCTTTTAGAATGTTCCAGAAGTCAGTTAGGAGAACACAGCATCTCCAGACAATACAAATGAACAAGAGGCACATCGGAGACAGCGAGCATTTGTGACACTTTCTCACAACAGCTGTTCACCCTCTGACACTCCATGGCAACACTGTGAGTAAACTCCTACCTCTCCTCAAAAGAGAAACAAATGAGTGACCTGAATATTGAATGATCTGGCTTCTTTCACCTGCCTGACACAGAAAACAGACGGAATGAGAGCACCCTCTGGATGCAGTGTGCTGGCTGCTCAGACAAAACGTGAGCACTTGCTCAAACAATGAAGAGACTCCAGAGCTGAAGACAGAGAGGAAGGTATCATGCGTTCTAAAGTAGTCACTCCACTTTCTTAAACTGGGAAATTACGAAAACGCGGACATGATAAATGCCCAGAACATGTGTGACAGGCTTCTCAAACGCATTTCCATCCAAGGAGAGCTACTCGAACCACAGTTTAAGGTCGATCTTCCACCTTTACATTTAAACCTCACCTCTGTCATCTGCCTCCTTCATTCCCACCTACCTGGATGGAAGGTTACTGTCTCCTTTCTCTTCACATCCCAGAGCTGCTTCTCTTGCTCCAAAAAGATGATCAGGTCTGGCTTTGACACAATGAGACCTGTTTATTAGATAAAAAGAAAATGAATACTGCTGGGGATTCAACTTTCAATCATGATTGTGCTCAGTAGAGAAGACATTGTAAAATTCTAGAAAATAATTTCCCAAATGTTGTCGCCAAATAGCCCCTTTAGAACACGAAGAACGGATTTCCAATATTCACATTCTGACCTCCACTTCCAAGTAGTAGACACAATAATAAGGAGTGGAAATTTAAGCTTAGCTTAAGATGTGAGCAGTGCCGGGGCACCTGAGTGGCTCAGTCGGTTAAGGGTCTGCCTTCAGCTCAGGTCATGATCCCGGAGTCCCAGGATTCAGCCCTGCATCCGGCTCCCTGATAAGTGGGGAGTATGCTTCTCCTTCTGCCCCTCACCCCACTCATGCTCTCTCTCAAATAATTAAAATCTTAAAAAAAAAAAATGTGAGCAGTACCATTTTATGCCACTCAGTGTTTAGAATTGCCAGTAATCTACAGAAGTGATGATGTTACCTTAAGGAAGGGGAAGCTAAAGCTGAAAAGGAAACATCATGAACATTTTTCTCTACATCTACAAACCCCTCATTTCCCTTGCTGCCTAGATCTGAATTCCAGTCATTCACGGAGGAATCTTCCAAGAGACAGTCTTCACAGGAAGGAAGAAAACACTTAGTTATGGTTTGGGAAATCTGGAAGGAGTCATCCTCACCCAAGAAGAGGAGGTGTCTGTAGTTTTCTAACATCACATCCCTGTACGATTCCCGCTGAGTGTGGGTCAGGCATCCCCACTCCTCCTGAGAGAATTCTATGGCCACATCCCTGAATGTCAGCAGTCCCTGCAATAAATACCACAGTCACCAAGTAGTCATAGGCAGAGTTCACAATGGTCCCTAAGATGAAAGAGAAGGGAGTTAATGTCATCAGTTAGACCCAAGACCTGACTTTCCTTGCTCTGTGACATGAGTGTGGAATAAAAGAAAGACCCTTGGGACAGAGAGCTGGCTGACTGAGAACCTCCACTCCCAGAAGTCAAATGTATCAACTTCACCAAGGTGAGAGTCCTCATTGTCCAGTGGAAATTGATGGGATGTGGGATAGGAGCCAACGGTCAAGAAAGAATTTTTTTTTTTTTTTTTTTTAAGATTTTATCCATTCATTTGACAGCGAGAGAGGGAACACAAGCAGGGGGAGTGGGAGAGGGAGAAGCAGGCTTCCCGCGGAACAGGGAGGGGGATCCCCAGGACCCCGGGATCATGACCCGAGCCGAAGGCAGACGCTTAATGACTGAGCCACCCAGGCACCCCAAGGAAGAATTCTTGAGATGTTTTTGATGTGAAATGCTGGGGTTCAGAAGTGAATGATGAAGAATTACTGAGATGTCTTTGGTACAAAAAAATGTGGTCTTACTGAAGCACAGGAACAGGACCCACGGGTCAAAAGAGCTGCACTGGGGTTGTGAGCAGTAATTTATCCTATATTTACAAATGGTGAGTGGGTGAGCAATAGCAGCAATCTCTATGGAATCTGAAAGCAAGGTTTCCAGGACCTTGAGGGCCTCCCTGGTGTGATAAGGTCACTTAACTATGGTCGAGTAAAAAACCTAAGACCCTTCAGATATGTATCAGTGGGTGCTATGCGGAGAGGATGGCCAACATATTTGGGGGGAAAGATAAAGAAGATTCCAAGGGCATTTTTTTATGTTAAAGAGGACTTACCAGAATCCCAGAGCTCTGGTTATTGTCAAGCTAAGGTTGCTTTTCCCCTCTAATAAAACATTAAGACAGTTGTGAATTCCATGAAGAACGTCATACTCTGTCTGTCTCAAGTATTTATCAATGGGCTGCAAGTTGAGGGAAATTTAATTTTATCCACACTTCTTTTGACTTTGTTCTCTTCCTCAGAAACTAGAAGCAAGGGCACTTGGTTAAGTATCTGCCTTCAGCTCAGGTCCTGTTTCCAGGGTCCTGGGATGGAGCCCCATATTGTGCTCCCCGCTCAGTGGGGAGTCTACTTCTCCCTGTCCCCCTCCACCACCACTCATGTGCTCTCTCTAAAAATCAATCTTAAAAAAAAAAAAAACAAAAAAACTACAAGAGTAGCTCAGAACAAAGAAGTTTCCAGTTGAACTGTGATGGTCTCTGCATATTGCTGAGTACATCCAAGTTCCTTACAAATGACTAAGAGGGGAAATATGAACATTGCAGGGGAGGAATCTGACAAAGAGCACCAAGACAATAAAAGCAGTTAGCATCAGTTGTATGGAAATAAACTGTTATCAGTGCCTAAGGCACATCAAGGACACACCATCACTGGTGTTTCCTTGTTGTCTGAAAACAGGAATTCAGAATATAAATCTAATTATGAAAATACAGTGGATATATATACAGTTCAATCACCCATAGTTTCTATAGAGGCTGCTTTTAGGCAAGAGCCCACAGTGACCCCTTGGCTGAACAGAGACTGGCCCAACAGATGACCCACCTCAAGATAGCCATAGGCCCATTAACCAACGGGCTACTGACAACCAGGTTCAGTGACCAGAAAAGGGAAGGGAAAATTCGGTAAATCCCCATAATTTCTCACCTTCCTGCTTTTAAAAGAGCCCCCATCCCACCCACTGCTCCTTGCAGACAGCCGCTCCTCGGCTGTCCTGCCTGGTGCTCTCTCGCAGTGTATTCAGGAAACTTCTAACAGCGTGGTTCTGCCTCAGGTGAATTCTTTTCAATTCCCACTTGACTTCCACCCAATCATGGACCCACGTTTGGGGTCCCCATCTGACTGGCAGAGACACCACATTTAGACACCAGTTTCCATGTCCTGTAATAGCCAGTGTATTTTATTTAAAGATTTATTTATATTTTAGTGCAGGGGAGGGGTAGAGGGAGAGGGAGAGAATCTCAAGCTGACTCCCCTCTGAGCATGGAGCCAAAGGAAGAGCTCCATTCTAGGACTGAGACCATGACCTGAGCTGAAATCAACAGTCTTGAGGCTTCCTCAACTGAGCCCCCCAGCTCCCCCTCTAGGGTTATTTTAAATAGAATATCTGTTTCACATTCTAAAGAGCAAATCTCAAGCACCCCCCCCCCCCCCGTCCCACTTTTCTTTCAGAGAACTTTTGGAGTTATTCTGGACCTCAAATTCATCGGGTTTATTTCTTAATTTTCTTACCCCTGGTCTACACAGAGCTGATAAAGTAACCACATGGGACCTAAATTAGAAATGTTTTCCTTCACTGATATCCCAGGAACAAACCTCATCAGCAATAGGAATCTTAAGACTCAATGCCTTCCCCTGTGGATCTGTCACCAAGAAAATATTTTCAATACTTGGAGGACTTTAATTCAAAGTAACAACTGTTGATGCCCTATTATAAGCCAGGTTGGAGACACAGAAGAGAAGGCTCTGGGATATAGAGAAGTGTTCTGAAGACCTCACCTTGAGTATCATTTCTGAAAAGATCTTAAAAATAGGTGAAAACATAAGGGGGAAACATCAGAACTACAGGAATTAACATAGGCAATTTCTAAATGCAAGGAATTTCAGGAGAAAAACATGACATGGCCTCTCCTGGAACACCAAGCTTACCTGAGAACTGGCCATTTCTTCTTTCACCTCGTCCTCTAGATTTCTTTCTCACAAGTTATTTGTGGAGAAATCACAGCAACATCAGGAGAAAATGCCCTTAAAGCCAACAACAGAGCCTCTTCACCTGAAACTGCTTCCCTGAAGGCAGGACCCTGAAACGCAGAAAAAGCCCAACTTCCTAGTCCTTTGTGTCAGGAGCTGTTCAAAAACTCTGAGCTCCTACTGGGAGACTAATCCTTGACTTTTCCTTCTTTGCTTTCAGGGGGCCTCCCCTCCCACAGGCACCCACAAATTCATCTACAGCCTAGGAACCCTCTGCTCCAAGGACCTGACCCTCCCAGACTCACGTAGTGGAGACCCTGTTACCTCTCCTTGAGCCAGAGCCCGCTCTCACCTCGAGTCCTTGTGCTTAAACCTGGCCTCACTTAGAATCACCTGGAGCCCTTAATTAACACAACACTGTAGTTTTCAGCCAAACCAATTGACAGAATCTGAGGGGGAGGGCAGCAGATGTGATCCTTTTTGAAATTCCACACGTGATCCTATTGGGAAGCATTTGGGGAGGTGACCAGGCACCTTAATCTAATGGATATTTAAAATAACCAGTCTAGGGGCGCCTGCGTGGCTCAGTCCTTAAGCGTCTGCCTTCCGCTCGGGTCATGATCCCGGGGTCCTGGGATCCAGCCCCGCATCAGGCTCCCTGCTTCTCCCTCTCCCACTACCCCTGCTTGTGTTCCCTCTCTCGCTGAGTCTGTCTCTGTCAAATGAATAAATTTAAAAAAAATCTTAAAAATAAATAAATAAGGGGCGCCTGGGTGGCTCAGTTGTTAAGCGTCTGCCTTCGGCTCAGGTCATGACCCCAGGGTCCAGGGATCGAGCCCCACATCAGGCTCCCTGCTCGGCAGGAAGCCTGCTTCTCCCTCTCCCACTCCCCCTGCTTGTGTTCCCTCCCTTTCTGTGTCTGTCAAATAAATAAAATCTTAAAAAATATATATATATACCAGCCTAATATAATCCTTAGGCCAGAGACATTTTAGGGTGACAAAAAGCTCCCTTTCATTAGGTAAATGTTTATTTTCATATGTAACTCCAAAACGGTTTTCCAAACTGAATGTACTTTTACCATACCATCAGCAAGATATGAGAATTCCTCGGGGCGCCTGGGTGGCTCAGTTGGTTGAGCGACTGCCTTCGGCTCAGGTCATGATCCTGGAGTCCTGGGATCGAGTCCCGCATCGGGCTCCCTGCCCGGCAGGGAGTCTGCTTCTCCCTCTGATCCTCCTACCTCTCATGCTCTCTGTCTCTCATTCTCTCTCTCGCAAATAAATAAAATCTTAAAAAAAAAAAAAAAAGATATGAGAATTCCTCAACATTCTCCCTGAAATTTGGTGTTTTATCCTTTTTATTTTACCCATTCTAGAAAATACTGAGTGGTTTCTCACTGTGAAATATGAAGTAGTCTTCCTATAGTTGTCCTGGTGACTGAAATGGAAACCACTTAAAAGCATCAAGTTGAACAAAAATCCAAATGGCTGCATTGTTTCAGGTTATTCCTCTCCCCTCCAAACCTCCCCTGTGCAAATCCTTCCCACTTCCTTTCTCAGGAGGGAAGGGAGCCTTTGTTTCAGGAACCTTCTTCCACCCTGACAACGTGATGAACAGGGTTGGCAACACACAGTTCCTGTAGAAACCGGCTAGATCCTGTATTTCCCTACAAAAGCCCAACCCCTTCCTCTGGGTGGGCTTGCAGTTTTGAAGACCCTGACCTGCTGCAGCCTCCTTTGCTGGCAAAGCAATAAAGCTGCTGTTCCTCCTTATCCCCAACTCTTCACATTATATTTTGGGTCTAAAGCATGGAGGTCAGTTCATACAACAGAAATGAACGTTAAGGATGCCTGGGTGGCTCAGTTGGTTAAGCGACTGCCTTCAGCTCAGGTCATGATCCTGGAGTCCCTGGATCGAGTCCCGCATCGGGCTCCCTGCTCGGCAGGGAGTCTGCTTCTCCCTCTGACCCTTCTTCCTCTTGTGCTCTCTCTCATTCTCTCTCTCTCAAATATATAAATAAAATATTTTTTTTAAAAAAATAAAAAAACAGAAATGAATGTTAGGAGAGGAAAATTTGTTTTTCTTGCTCCATTCTCAATTCTTTGGCCAGTCTAATAATTAAAATGATTCAAGACATCTAACAAGATAAAAAACAGAATTTTAATTATGGGAAACTGAAAGACATGAGGCTCAAAGACAGGTGATTGAAGCTTACATGCCACTGTGACAGAGTAAGTAGGAATGTAGAATTTCAAAGCAGGGACATATATTCACAGGAAAGAGGAAATGTATGTCAAACAACGGCTTACCACTCCATGCAGGCAACTCTTTATGATCTGAAAAGTTAATTTCTGGTATCATCTCTCTTCTTAATAGATGATGTAGAAAAGACATTAGGGTTCAAAATGATAGCCAAGAAAGAATTCTTGAGAGGTCTTTGGTGCAAAAAGGTGGTTTTGTTAAAGCAGGACAGGACCTGTGGGCAGAAAAAGAGCTGCACTGGGGCCATGAAGAGTGGCCCATTATATACTTTGGAGTTGGGAGGGGGTTAAGGATAGCTTAAGCCTCCCAGGTATTTTGGAAACAGGGTTTCCAGGACCTTGAGGGAGCTAGGTATTTTTTTTTTTTTTAAAGATTTTATTTATTTATTTGAGAGAGAGAGACTGAGAGAGAGAGCATATGAGAGGGGGGAGGGTTGGGAGGGTCAGAGGGAGAAGCAGATTCCCTGCTGAATAGGGAACCCGATGCGGGACTCGATCCAGGGACTCCAGGATCATGACCTGAGCTGAAGGCAGTCGCTTAACCAACTGAGCCACTCAGGCGCCCCTATTTTTAGGAAAGGTCATTTATTACTGTTTAGTAAAAACTCAGTCATGAGATCCTTCAGATGTATATTGGGGGGTCCTATGTTCGGAGGTTGATTGCCAACATGTATTTTGCCAGGTAGAGATAAAGGAAGTTTCCAACGGAGTTTTTATATGTTAAAGGAGACTTAGAGGATCCTGGGGGCTGGGATAAGATTGCCTTTGCCCTTGGCAAAGTATTAAGTTGGAGGCAGTTGAGTCCCTGGAGGAAGGTCACTCTTCCTGTTTCAAGGACTTGTCAATGGGCTGTAGATAGTAAGGAAATATAGTAATTTTTCTTCTGCCTTTTTTCCCACATCATTCCCGCCACTCCCCCCCAACAGTTTCTCGACCCTTAAATCTTTGAGGTTGCTGAGAGTGCAAGTTCTCATCTTTTGTAACTTCTTCCTGCTGAATAGGTACACAGAGATATCCCTACCTATGGGTCAACGTTGGTCAGTTGGGGCTTATATAGATATGAGTTATGAAAACAGAGGCAGCTGAATCCAAGGGAGACTGCATGTGTAGATATCCTGAGTGGAAAGGGCCATCTGTGGGCTTGAAGTTATGACAGTTAAGGAGTCTTGGCACCAAGTGGGGAGACATGGGAGAAAACAGCAAAACATGATTAGAATAACAAAACAAAATGCCCAGTAAGAGTCCTTTGATAGTTGACAAAAATCTTCTGACTCCAGGAGCTTACCTAAGCATTAAAGGAAAGAGAGGGATTGTTTAAAGTGCCAATTTGAGTGTCCATGTCTGTTAGAAACCCAGAAATACTTTTGTGGTCATCTGGACTGTATACACAGCATTTTGTTTTTGTGATTTGTGCAGCAATTACAACATCTTACGCTTCTCTATTTTGTAAAATTGCTTTATACATTTGTGTTACTTCAGTATTTAGTAGAGAAATGCTATTTGAGTGTCATTCAGGGCTTTGGTTGTGTATTTATTAAGAGCTTTCATGTGTCAAACAACCTCCAGTCCCAAAGAGGGAAAAAAAAATTAGGTGGCCATACCTATGAGACAAAGAATGTGTTCACGATTGTTTTAAATTCATAAGCTTAGGAGTGCCTGGGTGGCTCAGTTGTTAGAGCATCTGCCTTTGGCTTGGGTCATGACCTAAGGGTCCTGAGATGGAGCCCCACATCAGGCTCCCTGCTCAGCGGGGAGCCTGCTTCCCCCTCTCCTGCTCCCCCTGCTTGTGCTCTCTGTCAAATAAATTAATTAATTAAAGAAATAAAAATACATTTAGAAGGTTGGCTGGGTTGGTAATGGTTTTAATAATGCTCTGTGCATCCAGGCAAAACCCAGAGTACAGTGGCTTATCCAGCCTGAGGGAAGCCATGGACACAAATTAAAGCCAAATAGCCACTGGGTACCATTAGAAGACATTCATCTAATTCTGGACCTCCTTTAACTGCAGTCAAGATATCAAAGGCGGGGCACCTGGGTGGCTCAGTCGGTTAAGCGTCTGCCTTCAGCTGGAGTCATGATCCCAAAATCCTGGGATCGAGCCCCGCATCGGGCTCCCTGCTCAGCGGGAAGCCTGCTTCTCCCTCTCCCGCTCCCCCTGCTTGTGTTCCCTCTCTCGCTGTGTCTCTCTCTGTCAAATAAATAAAAATCTTAAAAAAAAAAAAAAATAGATCAACACACTGTAGATGAACCAAGAAACTAATATCTTTTTTTAATTGATTTTTTAAAAAGATTTCTTTATGTTAGAGGAGGGAGCGTGTGTTGGAGGAGGGGCAGAGGGAAAGACTCTCAAGCAGACTCCCCGCTGAGCCCTGAGCCCTACGAGGGGCTCAATCTCAGGATCCATGAGATCATGACCTGAGCTGAAATCACAAGTCCCACGCTCAACCCACCAGCCACCCAGGTGCCCCTAATTGATGTTTTAAAGCAATAGATTAGTGAGCTAAATTATCAGATTCCTCTCCACCCACCCACCTATCCTTTTCCCTTTAAAGCTGCTGGACCTGAAGCCCCTGGTTGCTCATCTGCCCTGCGGGTGGTGAAGAACAGAAGCTGTGCTCTGGTGCAAGTGGGTATAAAGCTTCACATTCCGCACGGGCACGGTTTGCACGTCCCCTTCCAGCTCGTGTCCCCTGGACAGACGTCTCCAGTCCTCCATCACCTAAACGAGCCGTTCTCCCTGTCTGGGTTGCAGCTTATCCCCGGCGGGGAGCCACGGTCTACACCGACCCCCGCCCAGGTCCCAGCGCCCCCTCTCGTCTCCACCGCTAGCAACGGCAGCTTCTGACTCAAACCCTTTCCAGCCCAGTAGGAGGAAAACATCTCATCTTCTAAGCGTCCCCAGCACCGTAAGCTTTTCCCCAAAATCCTGGAAACATTTATGAAGAACAGGCAGGAGGCACCCACGCTCCGCGTTACGCCGGGGAAGCACTAAGGATCCAAACCCGAAGACCAAGTTAGGTCTGGCAGATCCAGAAACGCCCCGGGGGCGGGGCCCACCGTGAGCCGATGCCCCGCCCACTCCTCCCAGACCCCGCCCCCGCACCAGCCGCCGCCCCGCCCCCGCGCCCCGCCCAGCACGGCCGTTACGCATTTCCGGCAGACCCGGAAGCGGATCCAGAGAAGTGGCAGTCTCCCTGTCTTTCCGGTTCAGGCTCGAGCGCGGCGGCCCCTCAGTCCGCAGTCGTCCGTGCGCCGGTGCGCGGGTCGCTAGGACCCTAAGGCCCCCGCCAGACTCGGGTGGCGAGCTGCCCCGTCGCGGCGACGCGATCCGAGGGCCGGGGTCCGCGTCCGTTGCCGGTTAAAATCGCCCGGGGGGCATCCCCGCTTCTTCTCGGCCTCTGGCGTGGGGACCCGCCTGCCTCGTCGTTTTTCTGCCTGGGACCCTTGGCCGGCCGTCCTGACGCACCCGGGGCCGTGGGACGCCCCCTCTGGGCGCCGGGATTCTCGCCCGTCCAGCGGCGCCCTCCCTGAGCGTGTCGGGCCCCTGCCGGCTTTCCTCCCCGATCCTGGCCTGAGGCGCCGCCCCCACAGCGTCACAACCGCCCCTTACCCCGGGCTGCTCTTCACCGTTGCTCCCTCTGCGGAAGGTGAGCGGCTCCTGCCCCGTGAAAAGTCGTGTTTGGTCCGTCCCCAGCCTCATCTCCTGACCTGGCTGGTCGTGGTGTGGCTGGGGTGCCGCGTGCGGGAGCGCTGGGTTCCACGCCCGCAGCCAAAAAAGCATTCTTTTTTTTTTTTTTTTAGGTTTTATTTATTTATTTGACAGAGAGAGACACAGCGAGAGAGGGAACACGAGCAGGGGGAGTGCGAGAGGGAGAAGCAGGGAACCTGATGGGGGGCTCGATCCCAGGACCCCGGGATCATGACCTGAGCTGAAGGCAGACGCTTAACGACTGAGCCACCCAGGCGCCCCATAAAACATTATTTTATTTTATTTTTTAAAGATTTCATTTATTTATTTGACAGAGAGACACAGCGAGAGCGGGAACACAAGCAGGGGGAGCGGGAGAGGGAGAAGCAGGCTTCCCGCAGAGCAGGGAGCCCGATGCGGGGCTCGATCCCAGGACCCTAGGATCACGACCTGAGCCGAAGGCAGACGCTTAACGACTGAGCCACCCAGGTGCCCCATCTTTTTTTTTTTAATAAAGATTTTATTTATTTATTTGAGAGAGAATGAGATAGAGAGCATGAGAGGGGGGAGGGTCAGAGGGAGAAGCAGACTCCCCGCCGAGCAGGGAGCCCGATGCGGGACTCGATCCCGGGACTCCAGGATCACGACCTGAGCCGAAGGCAGACGCTTAACCGACTGAGCCACCCAGGTGCCCCAAGATTTTATTTATTTATTTGACAGAGAGAGACAGCGAGAGAGGGAACGCAAGCCGGGGGGGTGGGAGAGGGAGAAGCAGGCTCCCCGCTGAACAGGGAGCCCGATGCAGACTCGATCCCAGGACCCTGGGATCATGACCTGAGCCGAAGGCAGTTGCTTAACCAATTGAGCCACCCAGGCGCCCCAAAAAAGCATTCTTGACAGGTCTTTGGTGCAAGAAGGTGGTTTAATTACAGCCCGGGGACGGGACCCACGGGCAGAAAGAGATGCCCTGGGGTCACGAGGAGTGCCCATTGTACACTTCCACGTCGGGAGGGCGTTAGGGGGAGCCTAAGTGTCTGAGGAATTTCAGAAGCACGGTTTCCGGGACCTTGAGGGGGCTGGCTGTTGTTGGGAAAAGGTCACTTAGGACCGCCTAATAAAACCTGAGTCGTGAGACCCTTCAGATGTATATCGGTGGGCCATATGCCTGGGAAGACGATTGCCCGCACGTATCTCGGGGGTAGAGATGACGGAAGTCTCCAAAGGAATCTTTATATGTTAAAGTAGACTTACAGGGTCCAGGCGGTCGGGCGAGGATTGCCTCTTGCCCTCAGCAAAGTAACATCGGGGCAGCTGAGTTCCTAGAGGAATGTCACTCTGCCTGTTCCAAGGACTCGTCCATGTGCTGTAGGGGAGTAAGGGAATTTTAACTTCTCTTCTGCCTCGGTCCCACATCACAGCTGAGGCCTGGGATCCGCGTCTGTTGGGGTCCCAGACAGAGCAGGTTCCGCCACGCCCAGTGACAAAATTCAAAGGCAGAGAAACCAGTGGTGGCGAAAGGAGAAAGGGATTTACTTCCGGGAGGCTGACAGCAGAATAGCCTCTCAAAGACTTGTCTCCAAAGTGCTAAAAATACTCCCAGGTTTTTAAGGAAAATGTAGGGCAAAGGTGGGTGGGTGAGTAGTGCAGGTAGGCAGTGGAAGTCGAAGCGATGGTGTCTGTGAGTCAATCACCGGTGGGGACTTGCTGGCTCCCAGCCATCCTTACTGCTTGAGGGGGTAGTTTCAGTTTCCCCCAGGATGCTTTGCCCTCAGGATCTTCCAGCAGATGCAGGAAAGGCACTCGGCTTCCCCCATAACTGCCTCCGTATACATTGGAAAGGAGAGCCTGCAACAGGAAGACAAGTATTAACCGAGGCCCCTCCTCTGCATAATAGAACAATCTTGTTTTTCCAAACTTCTCTCTTTTCACCTTGCTAATGAGTTTTCTCCCCTACCCCTCTCCTTAGCTCAAGTGAGCTTCGTGGTGCCTTGTCTTTGGACTTTGGTGTCTGTGTGGATTCCCCGTACATTCACCTGTTAATCTGTCTCATGTCAGTTTGATTCTGAGTCCAGCTAGAAGGACCACAGGGCAAGGAAGGTCTCCCTCCCTGACATTCTCAATGCTCTTATTAGTCTAACAGTCAAAATAGAATCTCTGCTGTTTCAGGTATGTCATCGTGCCATCCGTGAATCCTGCTTCCCTTGTCTTGTTTCTGCCTTTACCTGTTTCCTCTGGGTCCCCACTCAGGCATTCTATGGTGAATGGGGAGAGCCCTGACTGGGCTTCTGGTCTCAGCCTCACTTTGATGAAAATGCTCCCAGTGTGGACTGCTGATCATAATGTTTGCTGAAATTTTCTTGCTGAAAAGTAATTTTTCAAATGCCATATTTGGCATGATTTAACTATCAGATATCTTACTGAAGGATCTGCAGTGCTCAAATATGTTTTCTTTAAATCTGTCATTTTGATGTATCGCATTAATCAGTGTTCTAATATGGAATCTTTCATTAATGGAATAAAGTGAATTTGGCTAATATTAAGTGCTAACTGGCTAAATTTAAATGGCTAAAGTCGTATTTATATCTTTACATTATGCGTTTAAAGGAGATTCAAGTTAGAATTTTCTTTTTTCATTTTGTTTAGTTTTTTTTTTTTTTTAAGATTTGTTTACTTATTTGAGAGAGAGAAAACGTGGCAGGGGTGGGGGGGACAGAGGGAGAGAGAGGGGAAGCAGACTTCCTGCTCTGTCCCAGAAGCCTGAGATCATGACCTGAGCCGAAGCAAAGAGTTGGAGCCTTAACTGAGCCTGAGCCACACAGGTGCCCCTCATTTTGTTGTTTTTTAATAGCCTAATATAATAATGTGAACAAATTTTTCTTCCTTAAAAGAGTTCACATCACATTGGAACTGTATCTGGCTTAAAATGAATCAGACCTTATTAGATTCAGAGACCACCAATGCCTTTTAATCTGTATATTGAACTTGGTTATTCAGATTTTCTTTTTTTTTAATATTTTATTTATTTATTTGTTTGTTTATTTGAGAGAAAGAGTGTGTGATAGGAGGGGCAGAAGGAGAGGGAGAGAGAGAATCTCAAGCAGACTCCCCACTGAGCATGGAGCCTGATGCAGGGCTTGATCTCATGACCTTGAGACCATGACCCAAGCCAAAATCAAGAATTGGACACTTAACCTACTGAGCCACCCAAATGCCCCCACATTGTTTTCTTTTTTAATCAGGATTTGCAACATAATCTAGAAAATAATGGATTTCCCTTAAAAATACAGATGTTTTTAAAAATAGAAGGTGCTTTACAATTTTACATTCTGAGCAGAAATACTTTAGGCTTCCAGTTTCTCCACAGCCTTCATAACAATGCTTTCACTCTTACGTATTGTAGCCATTGCAGTGGGTGTAATATTGCATTATGGTTTTGATTTGCATTTTCCTAATGCCTGGGGATGGTGAGCATATTTTCATTTGCTTATGAGCCATTCATGTATCTTTGGTGACATGTCTATTCAAGGCTTTTTCCCATTTCTTTTTCAGTTGGGTTGTTCATAAGCTGTAAAAATTCTTTGCATTTTTTACACATGGAAGTGTCTTCATTTTGCCCTAATTTTTTAATGATAGTTTTGCTGGATATAGCATTCCTGTTTGACTTTTTTTTATTCTTTCAGCACTTTGAATATTTTATTCCACTGCCTTCATTTGTTTACTATTGCTGGTGAAGTGCCAGGCATTGGTCCTATTGTTGTTACCCTCAATGTGGATGAGTCTTTTCTCTCACTGCTTCAGGATTTTTTCTGTCTTTTGCTTTCAACACTTTATGATGTGTCTCTTACAACTTCTGGATTTTGAACTGTAGTTAGAAATGATCTCCTTATTTCCCTGTTATGGACACATTTTAAGTTTATGACTTATTTTTAAAATTTTTTTAATTTAAATTCAATTTAGTTAACATATAGTGTATTATTAGTTTCAGGGGTAGAATTTAGTGATTCATCAGTTACATAAAACACCCAGTGCTCAAGGGCACCTGGGTGGCTCAGTCATTAAGCATCTGCCTTCAGCTCAGGTCGTGATCGCAGGTTCCTGGGATCGAGCCCCACATCGGGCTTCCTGCTCGGCGGGGAGCCTGCTTCTCCCTCTCCCATTCCCCCTGCTTGTGTTCCCTTTCTCGCTGTCTCTCTCTTTCTGTCAAATAAATAAAAAAATCTTAAAAAAAAAAAACAACACCCAGTGCTCAATGGTGCCCTCCTTAATGCCCATCACCCAGTTACCCCATCCCCCCACACCTCCCCTCCAGCAGTTCTGTTTGTTTCCTAGAGTTATGGTTTGCCTCTCTGTTTTTATCGTATTTTCTTTTCCTTTCCCTTCCCCTCCCCTATGTTCATCTGTTTTGTTTCTTAAATTCCACATATGAGTGAAACCATATGGTATTTGTCTTTATCTGACTAACTTACTTTGCTTAGTATAATACCCCCTAGTTCCATCCACGTCATTGCAGATGGCACGATTTCATTCTTTTTGATGGCTGAGTAATATTCCATTGTAGATATATATAGATATAGAGATATAGATAGATAGATAGATAGATAGATAGATAGATAGATGTATACCACATCTTTATCCATTCATCTGTCAATGGACATCTGGGCTCTTTCCATATTTTAGCTATTGTGAACATTGCTGCTATAAACATTGGGGTGCATGTGCCCCTTTGAATCACTATTTTTGTATCCTTTGGATAAATACCTAGTAGTGCAATTGCTGGGTTGTAGGGTAGTTCTATTTTTAACTTTTTGAGGGCTTATTTTTTTTACATTTACATCTCTGATCCATTTGTACTTTTTTCTGATATATAGTTTGAGATAGTGAATGAATTTGATCTTTCTCCAAATAACTACTCTGTCATTCCAACATCTTTAAATAGTTCATTACTGATGAAGAGACATTACAGTATCTTGACTTTACCCATTCTTTTTTTTTTAAGATTTTAGGGGCACCTGGGTGGCTCAGTCAGTTAAGCATCTGCCTTGGGCTCTGGTCATGATCCCAGGACCTTGGGATCAAGTCCCACTAGCCCCACACCGAGCTCCACAGCGGGCTCCCTGCTCAGTGGAGACCCTGCTTCTCCCTCTCCCTCTGCCCTTCCTCACCCCCCTCACCCTCTCTCTCAAATAAATTTATTTGACTCATGCACGCTCTCTCTCAAATTTATTTTTCGGGGCGCATGGGTGGCTCAGTTGGTTAAGCGACTGCCTTCAGCTCAGGTCATGATCTCAGCGTCCTGGGATTGAGCCCCACATTGGGCTCCCTGCTTGGCAGGAGGCCTGCTTCTCCCTCTCCCACTCCCCCTGCTTGTGTTCCCTCTCTTGCTATGTCTCTGTCTGTCAAATAAATAAATAAAATATTAAAAAAATTTTTATTTTTAAATAAATTTTTTAAAGTGTGGGGACGCCTGGGTGGCTCAATCGGTTAAATGTCTGCCTTTAGCTCAGGTCATGATCCCAGGGTCCTGGGATCGAGTCCCATGTTGGGCTCCTTGCTCAGCCAGGAGCCTGCTTCTCCCTCTGCCTACTGCTGTCCCTGCTTGTGCACTCTCTCTCTCTCTGACAAATAAATAAATAAAATCTTTAAAAAAAAAAAAAAAAAAGGATGCCTGGATGGCTCAACTGGTTAAACATCTGCCTTTAGCTCAGGTCATGATCCCAGGGTCCTGGGATTGAGTCCCACATCAGGCTCCCTCCTCATCCGGGAATCTGCTTCTTCCTCTGCCTGCTAATCTCCCTGCTTGTGCTCTCTCTGAAAAATAAATAAATAAAACTAAGAAAATAAAAAATAGCGTGCCTACAAGAAAAAGCCAGAAATAACTTATCATCACTCAAGGTAGTTTTTTTTTTTTTTTAAGATTTTATTTATTTATTTGACAGACACAGCGAGAGAGGGAACACAAGCAGGGGGAATGGGAGAGGGAGAAGCAGGCTTCCCGCTGAGCAGGGAGCCCGATGCGGGGCTCGATCACAGGACCCTGAGATCATGACCTGAGCCGAAGGCAGACACTTAATGACTGAGCCACCCAGGCGCCCCAAGGTAGCTTTTAAAAAGACCGATTTCTCTAGAATGTGTTAAAGAGACAAATATGCTGCCTTTACAAGGGATCAATACTAGAGTGGAACCACGAAGTTTGCCTTTATAAGGGAAAGCCTTACTTTATAGATATATCTCAGTTAATGGATGTAGAAGGAATGTCAGAATTAGAAAAACTTTTTTAAATAAATAATGATCTGAGGGACAAGTCTCAATCACTCTAAAATCAACCATTTAGGGTGCCTGGGTGGCTCAGTCAGTTAAGCGTCTGCCTGGGGCTCACATCATGATCCTGGAGTCCCAAGATCGAGCCCCCCATCAGGCTCCCCCCTCAGCAGGGAGTCTGCTTCTCCCTCTGACCCTCCCCCCTCTCATACTCTCTCTCTCTCTCATTCTTTCTCTCTTAAATAAAATCTTTATTTTTTAAATTTTATTTTATTACATTATGTTAATCACCATCATTAGTTTTTGATGTAGTGTTCCATGATTCATTGAGTGTAACACCCAGTGCTCCATTCAATACGTGCCCTCTTTAATACCCATCAGCAGGCTAACCCATCCCCCACGCAAATCGTTAAAAAAATCAAATCAAATCAACCATTTAGCAATGAGTAACATCGCACAGATGACTAGCCACCCTTATGTAAGGGACGGAAACGCTTGTTGGGAGCAGGGCCGGCCTCCCATTCACTACGCAGTTCTTTGCCCTGAACTACATTTCCCAGAAGTCTGTGAGGCACAGGTCCTTCGGGGCGTGTAGGGTTGCAAGCCGGGGAAGTGGACCACCGGGGGCCCAGCTCCTTGTATTCCCGGGCTGCTGGACTACATTTCCCAGAGGCCCGTGCGCCGCCCCGTCCCCAGAGTCGGAGCGCAGCGAGGTGCCTGCTGGGAGAGGTTTGCCGAGCCGAGGATTGTCTGCGCTCAGCATCCCGCGGCCCCGGTGCCGAGTTGACCTCAAGCCTTGCGCCCCGTCCTCACGCCCTGTGGGCCGTGGGGCCCCGAGCGGTGAGTGGCTGGCCTCCTGGGAGGGAAGCCGCGCACTCTGCGGAGGGAAGGGCGGCCAGGAGGGCGCCCCGGGGGAGGAGGCCGGACGCGAAGCCCGGGCCCGCGGCCCCGGAGAGAAGTGCAGGGGTGCGCGGGGGTGTCGGGGACCGGGGACCCCGGGGAGGGGACAGGCCGCGGCTCTGTGGCCGTGACGCACCTCGGGGAGTGCGTGGGGGCGGGGCGGCGCGGCCCGGCGGCCACTGCCCCGCGGTGGGAGGGGCCCCTGCGCCGCTGCGGGGGTGGCCGCGGGCCGGGGGGGGGGGGGGCGGGCAGCGTGCAGCCTGCAGCTGTGCGGTCGCGGCGGCTTACCCGGCCGCGGCCCCGAGGGAGGGCAGAGAAAGTGACCAGCAGGCAGGGCACAGGCACAGCGCCGAGGTGACCCAGGGCGAGCAGCGCTCTCCTTCCGGGCACCCCGAGTAGCAGGGCGGGAAGGGGAGATGCGGGCGGGGGCTGCTGCCTATTTCGGAACACCTCTTCCCTGCGGCCTGGTCCCCAGAAGCTCCGAGATCCTCGGATCCCTGCTCCCCCTCGTTCCCGACGGGTTTCAATTAGGACGTGCGGGCCTGGAGGGTGCTTTCCGATCCAGCTTGTTCTCCGGAGAGGCCCTAGAGTCTCCTCCTCTCTCCCGCAGGCCAGCCGTCCTCCGGAACAGGCATCCTGGAGAGGAAGACCCTTGTTACGCGTCTTAAAGCCAAGGTTCAGATGAGTTACCTGTTTTGTTCAGTAAATGTCTTGTGTTTATAGGACTTGAGAACATTTGCTTCCCTTGGCCTGAGATGTTCTCCCCAACAGTGACTAATCCTTTCCGGAGAGGTGTGATGGGGCCGTGCAGGTGTCTGCAGAGAACACAGAACAGAAGAATGCGGTGGGGAGGTTCGTGTTGTGCTTTATTGCAGCCTGAGATTTGGTCAGGAGGATCCTTGTCTTTAGGTGGGATCCGCAGTCTTGCCCACCGGCCTGACTTTCAGAGCACAGTGAGAACAGAGAAGGTTTGATGGTTTGGGCCAGTAAATGACAAAGTTACCAGCTTGGTGATGCTTTTAAAAGTGGGGTTTGAGGGCCGTCCTGCTGGCCCAGTCGGTAGAGTGTGCAGCTCTTAGGAAACGTGCTGCTGGAGCGAGCACTAGAGCGTGCAGCGCTTGATCCCGGGGTCGTGAGTTCCAGCCCCACGTTCGCCATGGAGCCTACTTAAAATTAAAAAAAAAAAAAAAAAAAAGTAAAATAAAATTCAAAGGAATTGAGCCATTATTTTGATAAGTAAATAAATAAAAGTGGGGTTTGAGCAAAGGGCTTTGTCATCAAAGGCAGGGATTTTTTTTTTCAGTGATCAGTAGAAATCTGTTGTATTATCCACATCTTGTCGGAAGCGTGACAGCTTCAGTCTGTTCCAGTTCCATTTTCGTATGAACTGCAAGAAGCAACATGGTTTGATGCTGAGTGAGTTCTGGAACTAGAGCAGAGGGCTTGGCAGAGTTTCTAAAAGGTCATATATTGAACAGTTCGTGCTTCGTGGGCTACATATGGTTCCATATTCTTCTTGTTTAATTGATCTTGTTAATGTTTAGGGTGGTTTTAGATTTGCAGAAAAAAATCGCGAAGTTAGTACAGAGAATTCCCAGGTACCCTGTACCCGCTGTGCCCTATTATTAACAACTTACATTAGTATGGGATGTTATTTACAGTTGGTGAGCCAATTCTGATACATTGTCATTAACTGAAGTCCACGCTTTTTTCAGATTTCCTTAGTTTTTACAGTAACATTCTTCATGTGTTCCAGGATGCCATCCCGGAGATCACATTACATTTCATTGTCGTGTGTCCTTAAGCTTCTCTTGGCTGTGACAGTTTCTCAGACTTCCCTTGTTTCTGATGACTTTGAAGGTTTTAAGAGGTACAGGTATTTGGTAGGATGCCCCTCTCTTGGAACCTGATGCTTTTCTCGTGATTGGACTGGGTTTATGGTTTTGGGGGTGGAAGATCACTACTTTTATCCTATCATGGCAAGAACACAAACTGTCAGCATGATTTATGATTGCTGAGTGTGAACTTGATCGTTTGGCTGAGGTGGTTTGTCCGTTTTCTCTACTGTGAGCTTACTCCCATTTTTCAAAGACTGGGTCTCCCCAAGTGACAGCTGTGTGTTTCAGAAGCCCTGTTACTAGAGCCTAGTCAGTCTGATCCTGCTTTGGTGGTCACGTCTTTCTCTCTTCCCACCCCCTCATTTGCTTGTAAGGACCCCCACAATTACTTTGGGCCCACCTGGCATAATTCAGGATACCTTCCTATCTTGAGGTCAGCTGATGAGCGACCCCAAGTCCACCTGCAACCTAACTGCCCTTTGCCATGTAACATAACATAGTCACAGGCTCCAGGGTTAGGATACAGACGTGTTTGGGAGGCAGTTGTCCTGCCTGCCACAGGCCTATCCATCCACAGTTCCCCTGATGACCGAAATATACCCACTGCCCCATAACTGTGGACTTTTTCTTTGTTGATTTGTTTTAAATTTGGGACTAGCTTAAATTATATTTCTTATCATGGAATTAATATTGGTTTGCAGCAAAAGGTTCAGCTTCCTAAGGAGCTCGTAAAGAAGAAACTCGAAATTACCCATAGCTGTACCATCCAGAGATAATTGCTGTTGATATTTTGGTATGTATGATTCCAGCCCTTCCCTCCCTCCCCCCAATGCATATGTGTGTGGTTTTGTTTCCAGAGCACTGGATCCTGCTAACCAACACGTAATTGAGCCAAACACTCTCCAAATCTTAGTTTATAGAGGAATCCAAGCTTTAAAAAAATCTCTCACACATTTACACCTTAAAGGATTAGAAAGACATCATTTGAAACTAATCCCATGAATAAATGATCAATAAAGACAGGCTTTCAAAATTTGATTTTCTGGGATTTTAACTTTTCTTTCACAGAACATGACAGGAGTCACTGACTTATTACAAGTATGAACTATACTATAACATTTCCATGGGCAGGTATATGAGTAAGATGACAGTAGTTTAAAACGTTCACATAAACAGAGGCACCTGGTTGACTCAGTCAGTGGAGCATGCAACTCTTAATCTCAGAGTCATGGGTTCGAACCCCATGTTGGGTATAGAGATTGCTTTTTTTTTTTTTTTTAATTAAAGTGTTCGAAGAAATCTTCCATATCACATGGAATACAAGATCCAGCCGCTTGCTAGTGTTCTCAGTTTGGCATCTTCTCAGTTTATGTTTATTTTATTTTATTTGTTATTTGTTTTAATTTAATTAATTTAATTTTTCATTTTATTTTAGTTATGACAGAGTGCGAGCAGGGGAGGGGCAAAGGGAGAGGGAGAGAGAGTCTCAAGCAGACTCCACGCTCAGCATGGAGCCGATGGGGGGGCTCGATCTCACAACCCTGAGATCAGGATCTGAGCTGAAACCAAGGGTTGGATGCTTAACTGACTAAGCCACCCAGGCGCCCCTCATTTTACATTCTTTGAGCTGGATTTTCCATGCAGAATCATGTCTGTCCCTCTCTGCTGGTGGAGAGGGAACATTTCTTCCTTCTATGTCTTATACTCTTTTTTTTTTTTTTTTTTGGCTACTGTTAATTTAAAAGAATTTCATTTTTAAGAGGCTCTGAAAGTTTTTAATTAGTGTGGATTATATAGACAGGTGTGAGAAGCACAAGAAGAAAGGAAAAGGCAGGCTTGAGTTTTTTCTATAAAATCAGATTAAGGGTTGTGTAGTGTTATTGATTTTCAGTCATAACTGCTAACTTGTATTAAGTAACTGTTAATATTATTGTGTTTTATGTAGATTAGCTTCCTAAAAGTTTGATGCAGTCTTACCTGGCAGGTATTGTTTCTACCCCAGTCTTAACTGTGGGGAGCAGACAGTGTGAGGTTAGTAATGGTCAGAGCTCAGATTCACATCCTGAATCCTGAAAGTCAGACCACAGAGGCTTATTCTTACTTTGATCGAGAGCTCTCCTCCCTGGGGCGCCTGGGTGGCTCGGTCGTTAAGCGTCTGCCTTCAGCTCAGGTCATGGTCCCAGGGTCCCGGGGTCCTGGGATTGAGCCCCACATCGGGCTCTCCCACTCCCCCTGCTTGTGTTCCCTCTCTCACTGTGTATCTCTCTGTCAAATAAATAAAACATCTTTAAAAAAAAAAAAAAGAGCTCTCCTCCCAAATTATGCATACATTATTAAAGCTACCTTCTTCACTTAGTAATTCAGCTTAAATTTCTTTCTCAAATAGTATAAATCAGTATCATTATTAGTAAGTATATTGGATGCCATTATAGCAGACCATAACTGGATCATAATTTATTTATGCTCTACCATGAGATATTTCTACTTTTTTTTTTTTTTTTTTTTCATTTTAAAAAATGATTCTCTGGAAAATCTGAATAAAATTGATGGATTACATCAGTATCAATGTCCTGGTGGTTATATTGTACTACAGATTTGATGTATTACCATTGGGGTAACTGGGTAAAGAGTACAGGATCCCGCTGTATTATTTCTTAAAACTGCATGTGAATCTACACTTACCTCAAAAAATTTTTTGGAACCTAGCCCTTGAACATTCTGGTATATGTATTTGTGCACTACTGTACCTATTTCCTTGGGATAAGTTTCAAAAAGTAGAATGTCGCCTCAAAACTATATGTCTGTTAAGTGCTTACAATACGATAGGAGTACGTGGGACAGCAGATGACTAAGAGGACATTGTTACCTGCACATTGCTTATGAGCCAGCCAGAAAGGGAAACTGGATGGAAGCCCAGGGCAGCCTGCGGTCAAGGCCTGTGGAGACTTATAGGTGACTGTGCCCTGAGAAGTGCCGGGAAGGGGACATCATTCTTACTGTGGCCACTGTTGGCAGGTCATGACCAGACAATTCTGAACACATGGGCTCTGTGCGGCATACATGGAATTTGTTTTCTAAGTTCTATACCGTACATGTTTTCTCTAATGACGTTGACGCAAAGTGAAGACTAACAGGGTCAGGTGGTTTAGAATTCCACAGGGCACCGTGGCTGGAAGGACAAGCTCAGAAGTCAAGTTCACCCTCCCACCAAGATAGCAGTCAGTATGTACAGGTCGTCCCTTGGAATCTTAGTCATTTTTCCAGTCAGTGCCCCGACATATGTGGGTATAGGTAGACATCAGAGAGTTGGCTTAGGTATTAAGCAAAAGGAAACAAAAGTTGTGCATAAAATAATGCAAAGGTACCTCAAAAGGAAACTGTTTAAAGAGAAGTTTCTCTGAGAGTCTGTCATTTATGAATTGAAAAGAAATAAACACACATACATACATATGTCAGGCCAAAGCCTGGCTCTTGTTACACACCCAGTGAGGTGTATTTAAAAAAGAAAATCAAGGTCAGAGGGTGTGTCAGAATCACCAGGACCACCACCAGCTTCTGTGATTGTCTGGGTGGACTCACAGCATTCACCACATAGTCCTATTCCAGGCCAGGATTTATTACAGTGACACACAGCACCGTCAGCAGGAGAGGGAGAGCCGCAGAGGACGGACGACATCGGGAGGAAGCCAGGCACATGCTTCCCAGGGCACTTTCCCAGTGCAGTCACACAGGACATGCTTAATTCCTCCAGCAGCAAGTTACAGCAAGACATGCGAAGCCTTGTCCACCAGGGAAGCTCATCTGGGCCAAGGGAGGCCAAGGTTTTTATCAGGGGGCAGTCACAGAGACACCCTCTCTCTGGCACATACCAAAATTCCAGACTCCCAGAGGAAAGCAAGGGCTCAGTATAAACCACATCTTTTATACAAACAGTCGAAGAGCAGTGAGCCACTCTTGTCAATTAGGGAACCACGGGGACCTTCTGGAAGTCCAGCTAAGGGCCAGTCTTGCAGGCAGTTTCAGACCTGCTCGTTACTCTTTCTGCACAAGGGATCTATCTATCTGTTGATGTTGTGGTTTGCTTCCGTCTGTATGTGTCTCTTCTCTCTCTATATATATACACACACATGTATCCTATATACGTACACATATGTTCGTATGTAGACTTTTACTAGTGTGTTGTTGTATCCTGTTTTGGTAGCCTGATTTCTCTACTGACAGTGTATCTGAAGTGTTATTCATTGTCTTGTAAGGATTTCTTTGAACATTTCATGATCCTTGACTCTTACATCAATATTCTGCGTGTATTTCTGCAGTGAGTTTTTCTGGGTGCAGGGTGCTGAATGTTGCCTGGGCCTTTGCTTCTCCATCCTGTCCATCTGCCATGTTTTGACCGACCTCACCCTACCTAGAGGCCAGGAGAGGTTCAGGTTTGAATGTGCAGCCCCCCTTCACCCTGGGTGGTGTGGCTGGAGGGGGCGGGATGTTGCTCAGCGTCAGACCAAGCACCCTAAGTGCACCCCATCTCAGGTCCAGGATCACAGTGCACCTGCCCAGAGTTAGCCAGACTGAGAGGTTTGGGGGCACAGTATCCACACGAGATTACCCTCAGTTCTGACACCCAAATCCATGTTCAGGACTTTCGTGAAAGCACCTTCAGGGCTAGAAGGATTCCTGGAACTCACTGAGAGCCATTCTACTCACAGTTCCAGGTAATTACAGGGAGAGGATGCAGATTAACCAGCCAGGGAAACAAGCACATAAGCTAACGTCCAGGAGTGTCCCCAGCATGGAGCTTCCAGTGTCCTGTCCCCCTGGAGTTAGGACTGGGTGTTCTGTCAGCATCATGATAGGACAATATGCATAGAGTATCGCCAACTAGGGAAGCTCACGTGAGCTTTGAGGTCCAGAGTTTCCACTGGGGCTTCAGCACATAGGCACGGTTGATTGATTGAATGATTGATGGTCCAGACATGACTGACTCATTGTCTACATGTTAATCTCAGTACCCAGGCTAGTTGATACCCCATGACCCAAAGCACCCACCCTGAATCACCTGGTTGGTCTTCTTGGTGTAGCCAGTTCCCACCCTAAGTAAGACTGGTTGGGGATGGCCAGCTTCACCCAAAACAAAGACATTCCTATCAGGTATAATGTAGATTACCTCTTAGAAGTTGGGGGCAAAAGACAAAGAAGAATGGGATCTTGCCATTTGCAACAAGATGGATGCACCTAGAGAGTATTATGCTAAATGAAAAGAGAAAGATAAAAACCACATGACTTAACTTATATGTGGAATCTAAATAATAAAGCATACGAACAAACAAAAACAGAAACAAACCCATAAATCCAGAGAACAGACTAGCATAGTTGCCAGAGGGGCGGGAGGCCCAGGCTTCCAGGTACGGAGTGCGTCATGGGGAAGAAAGTCACAGCATAGGGAACATAGTCCGTGGTACCGTGATAGCGTCGTGTGGCGCCCAATGGCAGCTACATCTGTGGTGCACATGGCGTAACATACAGACCAGTGGAGTCGCTAGGTTGTATGCCTGACACTGATGTGATCATGTGTCCGCATACTTCAGTTAAAAAACTTTTGAGGGGCTCTCGATCTTAGGGTTGTGAGTTCAAGCCCAATGTGTGGGGTAGAGCCTAGTTTAAAAAAAAATTTTTTTTTTAAGTTATACTGAGAAACGACAGATGAAAGTAGGTCTGACTTCAAGGCAAAAACAAATAAAAACTCTTCTACTGTGTGCACAGCTGGGTTTCATAGGGCTTCAGGGAGAGCTTTTTTCCCTTTTGTCCAGATCCCTCTTCATCCTCTCCGATGCATCGTGTTGATGTGTGCATGTTGTGGGGGAGGAAACGGCCAGGGTCGGGGGGTTTGGAAGCAAAGATGGAGGAGCAGGAAGCTTGTATTAAGTCATTTTGGGACCAAGGTGCACTTATTTTAATGCCTCTTTTTTTCTCGTATATCTCTGGCTTCTGTGGATTTTGTGTCTTTGGTAAAAGAAACCCCAAGAGGACTGATCAGTTCTTGATTCTAAAACTATGGCGCACGTAAGTATGTATTTCTCTTTCCTTCTTGAAATGTGATATTTGGGTCCTGTGGCTATTTTTGTGAACTATCCTGAAGCCTCCTGCCCAACTGAGGCCCATATAATTACCCACTGCCCAGTTCTTCCTGTTCCGGCGAACGACAATGCCGTATAGCCCTGTGCCCACCTGTGGCTAATGCCCACTTCACCACTGAGCTGGGGATTCAGTGTCTCCTCTGCGTTCACCTTGTCAAGAGTAACGCTGGAGCAGTGGGGGAGGAGAGTCCCTTGAAAGAAATACTTGAGTCACGTGTGCGGCTTATGAGTTGCAGATGGTGGTCCCATTTGACCACATGCAGAAACTAAAACTCCCTGCTGTTCTCCACGGATGTTTTTCCCAGGCAGAGAGGAGAGAATGCTCACGTTGGTTGGTCTCTGTGTCAGTGGTGGTGATAGCTGGAGCTCCGTGAGGCTCTTGGGATTGGATAGGGCTGTGGTTGGGGCCTGAGCACTGAGAGCCATGATGTTACTAGGGGATTTGAGGGGTGCGTGTTGTCGAGCAGACCCTCCAGACCTCTGTGTGCATCCACATCATCTGACACCCATAGCCTAAATCAGAATCAGAGAAAAGGCAGGGGTGGTGGGTCGTAATGGTCTTAAGAAGGTCACTCGGTACAGAAGTCCCAGGTGATCATATACCCCGAGAATTGGGGAAAACCTTAGATGTTTGGTTTTACCTAAGTGTACAACTGTAAGAATGAAGTCCAGTTCATCTCTACGATGGAATAAGAAAATGCTTTTGTGGTTACATAGAAGACTGCTTAAAACCTTGGCAAAATGATGACCTTGAGGCTGAGAACATTCAGACACGTAAACCCTAGTTTCAAAAATAAAAGATCTCCCTTCACACAACAGAAACAAAACCCTAGGCATTTTCCTTCCCTTGAAGGATGGAAAGGGTGCCGCAGGCGTCCACACTTGCCGAGATGTTACCAGGTAACGGGCTCTTCAGGAACATTAGGAGCTCTGCTCCGTCGCAGTCCCCACTGTGCCCTGTGCACGTCACAGGCCTGTGGTCTGCTGCTGTGTCCAGCCCAACCCAGAGCAGAAGAGCCCTTTTTGTGCTGTCCTTCATTTCCGGGACGTGTGGGTTTGTGTTTTCAGGGTTTGGTGACGTTCTCAGATGTAGCCATCGACTTCTCTCAGGAGGAGTGGGCATGCCTGGACTCCACGCAGAGGGATCTGTACTGGGATGTGATGTTGGAGAACTACAGTAACCTGGTCTCCCTGGGTGAGTTGCCTGCCCCCTGGAATGTCAGCTGCCTCCACTGGGAATGTCAGGACTGACTTCAAGAAATGAATTCCTTCCTCTTCTCAAGAAGTGCCTTGAGCCTTGTCGTATCTAAAATGGGCACCTCGCACCTTCATCTCCTTGTCCTCTTCCCACCTTTGTCTGGCCCTTCCTGTAATCCTCTCTCTTCCTTAGTGAGCAAAGGGTGAATTCAAATTCTGGGCTGTTTACTTCACACCCATCCTCAAGGAGCTGAGCTTCATACTATGATAGTATGTTCACGCCCAGACTGCTACTGATGGCCTGTGGTACTCTGCAGAACCCCCCTTCAGGGAACTTGACTTCCTTCAGTAAACAAGCCTGTGTTTGATGTGGATTGAATGGACAGCATTCACGTAAAACCAAAGCAAGCATTGTACCTGAAGTGAGGTTGAAAGTTACAATTCCTGGGCGCCTGGGTGGCTCAGTTGGTTAAGCGACTGCCTTCGGCTCAGGTCATGATCCTGGAGTCCCTGGATTGAGTCCCACATCGGGCTCCCTGCTCGGCAGGAAGTCTGCTTCTCCCTCTGACCCTCCCCCCTCTCATGTGCTCTCTCTCATTCTCTCTCAAATAAATAAATAAAATCTTAAAAAAAAAAAAAAGAAAGAAAGTTACAATTCCTGAATTCTGAGTTACACGTTGGATGACATCTTGTAAATGTCTCCGGTTAGGTCTTGTTTTTCTGTTAGAGAAATAACAGCCATAATAGTCACGGCTAATGTGCTCACCCTGTACCAGGCATTGGCAGCACTGTGTGTGTGAGCAAATACACTTCACCTTAATCCCACCAGTTTACGAGGTAGGCACGACTGCTAGGTCTAATTTGTAGGTGCGTATACTCAGGCGTGGAGTGACTTGATCAGACAGGGGAGGCCGAACCAAGAATCCACACTGTCACCTACCCTCTTGTACTTGCCTCCATGGGTAAGGCCCTCGGAAGTTTAAGACCTTTCCTATCTGGTTGCGGTTGCCTGTTCTTTAATCCTTTCTCTTTTCTGAAGTCTTATCATTTTGACTTTTAGCTTGTCATAAATTTGACTAAGTCTCCATCAAAGGTTTTTTTTTTTAAGATTTTATTTATTCATTTGAGATAGAGCATGAGTGGCAGAGGGGGTGGAGTGCAGGCAGAGGGAGAGGGAGAAGCAGACTCCTCGCTGAGCACAGAGCCTGATGTGGGACTCGATCCCAAGACCTGGAGATCACGACCTGAGCCGAGGGCAGACGCTTAACCGACTGAGCCACCCAGATGTCCCTACAATGAATTTTTGAGCATATAATTTTTTTCTTAAATTCTACACCAGGTGGCATTTTTTTGAAAGCAGGACCTTCCATTTCTAAGCCAGATGTGACTTGCTGAGGAGTGAGGGAAAGAGCCGTGATGGTTGAGAGGGAGGACAGTACAGAGGAGAGTGACAGCCGGACTGGCTGGGACAAGCCATCGCTGTAGTAAGCAGCCAGGCAAGGCAGGGAGCAGGTGCACCCCTGGGGCATGGAAGGCTCCCTAAGAAGGCCACGGATGGCCTCTGGGGAAGAAGTCACCACCGTGAACCTGATCTTTGCCCCAGTCCCTCCCACTGGTCTCCTGTTTTGCTCCTGCTTCCCATGCTGCTGATGCTGCTGGTCCGTGGACCACACCTTGAGGAGCAGGGGTATAGACAACGTGATCCCGTGCCCTTTGTAGCTCCTGCAAGTTCGTTGGCATCCTAGCTTCGAATGCGTTTTTCCTTTTATCTGATTTTCGCTAATACTTCTTCCTGCGTGCTGTTACGTTCTAATATCACAGGACGTTACCCGGTATGGCTTACTGACACTCGGTGCCTAGATCCAGTGCTCAACGGGCATTCACCATGGTGATCTTCTGTCACTGCTTCATTTGTTTGCTCTACTAATGCTTTATAGAGAAACTGTGCTCCGTCGGCTAGTTGGTCATGTAGTGACACTGTTCATGGTGGATAAAAACATTTTTAAAGGGAAAATTATGAGTTCTAATAATAAAGGGCTGGTTGGCCAGCATGCTCCAAAGCTGATCGTCTAACACTTGGTGGCATCATTATGAACTCATGAATTTAAGCATGTTGCGGGTTTTGCAGCCCGTTGGAGTTAGCGTCCTCACTGATGGTCAGATCCTCCTACTAAACATTCCCCCACAGGCGTTTACCGTGTTTGTTACAGTTAATCCTACACGTTGTCCCTTTTATTGCCTTTGATGGTCGGTCTTTTTGTCCAGAATCACTTTTCATTATATGACTGACATATATATTAATTTCAGAATATTAATTTTATACCCAGGTAACCAGCCGTATATATTGTTTTTCACATTTGTTCTATATTTGATTTTCCTGGGTTTTCCAGGTATGTCATCACATCATCTGCAAATTGTGCTCTTTTTCATCTTTATTTTTGAGATCTGCCCCTCCGTTTGCTGTTTGCTTAATTGTGTCAGCTGATAGGAAATAGTAGGGCTAAGAGGCAGTTCCTTTTCCTTGTCTGACTTTAGCAGGAGTGTCCCCGGTGTTTCCTCGTTGAGTATTGTGGTGCCGGAAGTGGACTGAACATTTAACGAGAGCCCTAGGTGATTCGTGTTTGTTCTCCTAGAGAAGTTAATTTCTGTTTGAGAAGTTTTTGTTTTGTGGTTAGATTCGTTTGTGTTTTCATTTTCCTTAAAAGGAAACAAAATGTTATTTTTTTCCAGATTTAGAGTCACCGTATGGGACCAAGAGTTTACCTACAGAAAAGGGCATTTATGAAATAAATTTATCCAAATGGAACTCAGATGGAAGAAGTAAATCCCTTGGCCTTGACTGGATGTGTGAAGGTGAGTTTGAAGGACCACGGGGCCAAGAGGGCTGTTTCAATCAACTGATAATCAACTGTGAGAAAACGCCCACTTGTAGAGAAAATACCTCTGTTAGGCCACATCAAAGACTTCATACTAGGGAGAATTCCTATGAATGTAAGGAATGTGGGAAGGCCTTTAGTCGTGGCTACCAGCTCACTCAGCATCAGAAAATTCACACGGGTGAGAAACCCTACGAATGTAAGGAATGTAAAAAGGCCTTTCGTTGGGGTAATCAACTCACTCAGCATCAGAAAATCCACACTGGTGAGAAACCCTATGAATGTAAGGACTGTGGGAAGGCCTTTAGATGGGGTTCAAGCCTCGTCATTCATAAGAGAATCCATACGGGTGAGAAACCCTATGAATGTAAGGACTGCGGGAAAGCCTTTAGACGTGGTGACGAGCTCACTCAGCATCAGAGATTTCACACTGGGGAGAAAGACTATGAATGTAAAGACTGTGGCAAGACCTTTAGCCGTGTGTATAAACTCATTCAGCACAAGAGAATCCATAGTGGCGAGAAACCCTATGAATGTAAGGACTGTGGGAAGGCCTTTATCTGTGGCTCGAGCCTCGTTCAGCATAAGAGAATTCATACTGGCGAGAAGCCCTATGAATGCCAGGAATGTGGGAAGGCCTTTACTCGAGTCAATTATCTCACTCAGCATCAGAAAATCCACACTGGTGAGAAACCCCACGAATGTAAGGAGTGTGGGAAGGCCTTTCGCTGGGGTTCGAGCCTTGTTAAACATGAGAGAATTCATACTGGTGAGAAGCCATATAAGTGCACAGAATGTGGGAAGGCCTTTAATTGTGGCTACCACCTCACCCAGCACGAGAGAATCCACACTGGTGAAACGCCTTACAAGTGTAAGGAGTGTGGGAAGGCCTTCATCTATGGGTCAAGCCTCGTTAAACATGAGAGGATTCATACAGGGGAGAAACCCTATGAATGTAAAGAGTGTGGGAAGGCCTTTAGTCATGGCCATCAACTTACACAGCATCAGAAAATTCACACTGGGGAGAAATCCTTTGAGTGTAAGGAATGTGGGAAGGCGTGTAACCACGTGAACCATCAGAGAGTTCACACTGCTGAAAAACCTACTGAACAAGAAGAAGGTGCAGAAGCTTCTATACAACATTCATTCCTTCCACAGCACAAGGAAAATCCATGATACAGTTTAACATAAGAAAGCCTTCAGTGGTCACTCTCCTGCTTATAAGCATCTCAGAATAGTCATGCTCCAGACAAATTTGGAGAATGGAGAGATCACTTTTTCTTAGTGATCACAACACACTCAGTGTAGACTTGTTTTTTCGTTTTGCCACATCGGTTTAATGAGTGGATAGAAGCCTCCCGCTACCATTCGAGCTCCGCCTCACTTCACATTTGTTCTAGGGAATAACTGCTGATGTAACATATGTGGAAAAGCCTCTCGCCATGGTACACACCCTCCCTGTTACCATCACCATCCCACCTCTTTACTGCTGTGACACACTGGGAAAATGACCTGTTACCCCTGTGTGTTGTGTGTGAAATGGGGATAATCACATGTACCTAATACTGCTGTTGTGGTGACTGAGTTTGGTACACGTAAACTCTCTGGAGGTGTATTTGGAACATTGTGTAAGCTCAATAAATATTAGCTGCTGTTGTTCTTACCATCACGACTGTTAGTGTTGCTCTTAGTGAATTCCTACAGGAATACCCTCTGTGGGTACAAAGAATTAGAAGAGACGGTCAAGCTTGTAGAAGAAAATATAGGAGATTACGGTCACAGCCCTGGGTGGATGGTGTTTCTTAGTACACAGAAGATGCTAAACATAAAATAGAAAGTTTATACGTTGGACTTTCTCGAAAGGACAAAGTTCTGTTCATCAAGTGACACCATGAAGACTGAAAAAAGCAAGAGGCAGACTGGGAGAAGTAATACTTAATCTCCATGCACCAGGTAAAGGACTCACATAGAAAACAGAATCCCCCAAGTCAGTAATAAATCCGTTTTAAAGGGGTGAGGGGACTTAAATAAGCACAAGAGAAGATGGCCAAATGGTCAGTGAGCAAGTGAAAACAGGCTCGACATCATTTCTCATCAAGGAAATGGAGGAGTGAGGGGACTTAAATAAGCACTTACAAGAGAAGATGGCCAAATGGTCAGTGAGCAAGTGAAAACAGGCTCAACATCATTTCTCATCAAGGAAACGCAAAGTAAAACCACCATGAGGTTTCACTAGACAATCACTAGAATAGCCAACATTAAAATGACATATGAGCCTGGCACTTTGTTGGGTGGTCACATGCGACCTGTCCAGGAAGGGATGGGGCCAGCACATGGGACCTCCACCAGCAGCAAGGGCAAAGAGGTGATGCTTGAGGAGGGCGAGTGACTGTGTCCTGGGGGAGGGGCCGGGGCCCGGGATCCAGTCCTGGAAGGGTTGAGGCAGCAGTTAGACTTAGGAGGGGCCCGAGCCATCTCAAGTGGTCAGTCCTGGAGGGAAGTGAGTGGGTCCTTTTGTGGAAAGGACCAGAGCCCACAGGAGTGAGCGGAGAAGCTGGGGGAGGAATGGCTAGTGCTTAGGTCCTGGGAGACTCAAGGAGAGTCCAGGGAGCCTTGGAGAGCTGGAAGACTCGAAGGCTCATGAGTGTGGCCTGGGAGACTGAAGAGAGCCTTGGCCCTGGGCTGGCAGTGCGGTTAGAGCACAGAGAAGCGTCCCGCAAAGGCCCACGGGACCCAGAGTCGCGGGTCAAAGTCGGGCTTCTGTGTGGTTTGCCTCAGGGTTGGGGTGCCAGTATCCACAGACCACAGGTGTGGGTGGGTGCTGTCCTGAATAAATGGAGGAGGTGGAGGGGTGAGGGCAAGGGGAGGAGTATGATGGGGGAGGGACATGAGGGGACAGAACTGGAAGGGTAGTGGGGGGGCCATAAAGGGGAACACGAAGGTCACAGTGGAGAAAGCACTAACAAACTGGAAGCCCCAGGGGGAGAGGCAGTAGTCTGCAGGCCTCGGTGAACACTGCCTGCATGCACGGGGGCGATCCACAGAAGGAAATGGGGAGAGCATGTATCTGTCAAGACTCCTGGCTCAAGGAGCAAAAACCTAATTCAAGCAGCCGAGGGGAGTAGGGTGCAGAGGAGTCACTCCGTTTTAGCCTCCGGTGGACTCAGGCTCCCACAGAACGTCAGGCTCTGCCGTGAGCTTGGCCTCTGCTTCCTTAGGGTAGCCTTTGTGCTGAGGCTGCACGCGGCGGTCCTGACCACACCAGGGTCCGTCATCCTAGGACTTGCAGTACCGGCTAGAAAAAGTCTCCCAGACACTCCACAGCTTTTGCAGAATGGAGTCTTGCTGACTGGCTGGTGCAGGAGTCTGTCCTGGAAACTGCCCATGGCAGGGTGGATTGGAAACACCCCAGGTGCCCCCCAAGCCTTACGACCACCCTGGAGCTCACCTAAGGCTCCCAGACAGAGGGTGGGGCTGGCGATTTTAACAGCAGGAGCTCTCAGGAACAGTGACCGGCTACCGGGCAGGCAGAGTCGGCAGCTGTCCACAGCAGGCCAGGAGAACATTCCTGCAACCGGATGAAGGCATGGATTTGGGAGAGGCTGGCCGCCCCTTTGCTGGTCTGTGTAGGGGTGGGGCGGGTGGAGGCAGCATCTCAGCCCTTCTGTCCCTCTTCAGTTTTAAAATCACCCTTACAGGGTGCCTGGGTGGCTCAGTTGGTTAAGCAACTGCCTTCGGCTCAGGTCATGATCCTGGAGTCCCGGGATCGAGTCCCGCATCGGGCTCCTTGCTCAGTAGGGAGTCTGCTTCTCCCTCTGACCCTCCCCCCTCTCATATGCTCTCTCTCATTCTCTCTCTCTCAAATAAATAAATAAAATCTTAAAAAATAAAATAAAGTCACCCTTACAAAGAGCAGTACAACACTGGATCTGGGGATGGAGGGAGGTCCATAAATCCAGGAGTTCAAGTCGATAGTGGCATGGTGCAACCTTGGCCTGGCCTCCTTTTCTGTTCACTAGCGCTCCAGAGTTTGTCGTAAAATTGCCTGCAACTTCCAGTTTACACAGAACGGTTCATGTTCTCCACTAGTCCAAGAGGCTAGAAGCATATGCTGTCTGAATGTCCTGTGTAACTTCTAACACCGTATTTTATACTTTCTAAGTGTCATCTGAAAGTGGGCCTCCTTTCTAGGCCTCCAGCACACTATTACTTTGTTAGCATCCTGCACACAGTTCAGGTTCTTCTTCTAGCGCTTGCACGGCTTGCCTGAAAATTGCCGAAGTTCCCAGTATCATGCCATTCAACCAGGGTTTCCATTTTTTTGCCTGGTAGCCAGTCCCATCCCAGCATTTTGTCCTCTACATCTGACCTCCATTCCCTTTACAACAAAGGCCCCCTTTGTTCCACAATTTCAACATTAAAAACCTTCTGCTTTCTTTGGACTGTTTTCTTAATCTCGTTTTGAAGACTGTAATCTCCCAGTGGTTGTCACTCTGGCGTCAGAGTTCTGACGAGTTTTTTCTTGCTGCCCATCAAAGTGTCAGTACATAATCCTTGCTTCAGGCTCAGATTTTGAGAGAATAAGGTTTAAAGCATCTTCATGCAGTTCTGTTAAATCACTATTCGTTTGCCTCTGGTGCATATCCAAAACAAGTTTCTACTGGTTCACTGGTTTATTGTCTGTGCTCTCCGTTTGAGTGTGAGTTCTTGAATCCTGTGACCCTTTTTGGCTTGTTCACATTTGACTCCTAACCCCTTTGAACAGTAAGCACCATGTACGTTATAGGCAGTCAAGAAATGTCCGTTGAACAAATGAGTTTTATTGAGCTTCAGTGATGCATTAATTGATGATTCCCTTCTCAAATATATGAGCATAAGACATACTTTATCATTAAGGATATGTCTAAAAGTTGTTGCAAGTCTTCCTGAGATCTCATGGCAGGGAGGAATGATACAAGGCGCTGAAAGGAAAGGTTTCCAACCAAGAATTCTTTATCTGTCAAAACCGTCCTTCAAAAACAAGAGAGAAATTAAGACAAAAGGTAAAGGAGTGACTTGCTAACAGATCTGCCCTACAAGAGATGCCAAAGGGAGTCCTTCAGGCTGAAATGAAAGGACCTTCAACTATAACTTGAAGACATATAAAGAAACAGTAACTACACAGGTGAGTATAAAAGCCAGTGAGTGATACACCTTTTGTTTATAATCCCTCTTATTTCCTACATGATTTAAAGGATAAATGCGTAAGAAATGATCAGTCTGTGTTAATGGGCACAGAACATACAAAGCTGTAACTGACCATGACAAGCAGGAATTGGGTAAGAGCTGGGTGGGAGCAGTGTCTCCATTACGGATTCTAGGTTGGCATCAGTTCAAATAGATGGTTATAAATTTAGGATGTCAGTTATCCCTATGGTAATCATTAAGAAAATATCTTTATAGGGCGCCTGGGTGGCTCGGTTGGTTGAGCGACTGCCTTCTGCTCAGGTCATTATCCCAGAGTCCTGGATCGAGTCCCACATTGGGCTCCCAGCTCAGCGGGGAGCCTGCTTCTCCCTCTGACCTGCTCCCCTCTCATGCTGTTTCTCTCTCTCTCTCAAATAAATAAAATCTTAAAAATATATATATCTTTATAAACATGAATTCCTTCCTTGTCCTTTAGATAGCTAGAGTGGCTACATTAATCAGACAAAACAGGCTTCAAGTCTAAAACTTTTACAGGAAACAAGGACATCATATATTAATAAAATTCATATACCAAGTATATACCCACCAAAGGAACCTCAAAATACATGAACTTTGACAAATGACGAGAGAAATAATTCTGCAGTCATAGTTAAAGATTTCAGTACCCCCACTTTAAATCATGGTTAGAACATCTGGACAAGAGATTGATTTGAAAAAATAGAAGACCCACACCTGGGTGTCTCAGTTGGTTAAGCATCTGACTATTGGTTTTGGCTCAGGTCATGATCTCAAGAGCTGTGGGATTGAGCCCAACATCGGGCTCCACACTGAGCAGGGAGTCTGCTTAAGGATTCTCTCTCCCTCTGCCTTCCCTTGCTCGTGCACTCACACGTGCGCTTCCCCACCACCCCACTAAAATCTTTTTTAAAAAAATTCTCTGCCCCTCCCCCTGCTCACATACTCATAAATCAATCTATTTAAAAATAACAAAAAAATAAAAGACTACACTACAGACCCAAGTAGACCTAACAGACACAGCACCACCAGCAACAGAGCACACAGAGAACATTCTCCAGGACAGACCATATGTTAGGCCGCAAAGCAAGTCTCAACAAACTGAAAAGCACTGGAATCCTAGCATCTATTCCACCCACTATGGAATCAAACTAGAAATCAACAGAAGGAGAGGAAAATCGTATGGAAATTAAACCACACTCTACGACAAACAGGTCAAAGAAGAGCTCACAAGGAAACTAGAAAACAGGAGCGGAAATTACGTGTGGGATGACATGAAAGCAGTGCTCAGAAGGACACTTAGAGCAGTAAACACCTACATTTGAAAAGATAGGAAACCAGGAAAAGCTAGCAGAAGGAAGAAAATAACGGACTGGAGTGGAGGAAAAATGAAATGGAGAATAGAAAAATGGTACAAAGGGGCACCTGGGTGGCTCGGTTGAGCATCCGACTCTTGATCTCAGCTCA